CTTATGAGAACAGAAACAAATAGCCAAGGGTTTTTCCCAGGATAGGGATATACAAAACTAGACGGCATTGTTTTGAGGTGAGAGGGGTTCACTTGGAAGGCGTGTTTCAGCCCTTGGATACTGAGGATATTGAGGATGGAGGAGGAAAATGGGCAAGTGTAACAGTGGTTGCAGGGGCCCAGTTCAATTTAGGAGACCTGTTCAGCATGGATGAGTTGGGTCGAGGGCTTGTTTCTGTACTGTATGACTCTAAGAAAGGGAGAAAGGGTAAATCATTTGGTCATTCCTTAACATCATTGAGAACCTGATTGAGGCTTCATTTTCACTTACCTTCTCATACTCCCCCACGCCCCTGCGCCCCTACCATAAACCCTGACTCATAGATCAAAAGTTTGCCTAACTCAACCTCTAATGTATTTGTTCACCCACCCTCCACTGCTCTCTGCACTCCAAAGAATAACAGATCTCTGAGAGAAAAAAAAATGCTCTTCATCCCAGAGGTCAACAATCACTCACTAATGAGTATGATTGTTCACTGATGAAATTCCACTGCATTGAATCCCTCAAGATAGAGGTCATGTGCAGGGTATCTTTTAAGATGCGAATGCTGTTGCACATCAGCAGACACACAGCCCCTAGACAGGAGGTAGATCTAATTCCAATGGCCAGGAAATCTTGCCGACTGGGGATCTGCCTGCTGCTGCAGCCTTCATCTGTCATAGTAGCCATTAATATCACATGAATATCTTCCACCTGGATCACCGTTGAGGATTTGTTTAGGACTGTGCTTTCTCTAGGTCCTCCCCTCTCCGCCACAGCAAGGTGCAATCCATGGAAAAGCCTCATCTCAGTAATCAATTGGAGATTCCTTATTTTGAATTTGTGATCCTTAATTCTAGATCCCTCCGTGAGAGAAAACGCCATTTCAGCATCAAGATTTTCATAGCGCGCAGAAAATTATATCTTTCACAATAAGATCACCTGTCATTTTTCTAAATGCTAATGAATATACACAAAGAGAGCAGAGCCTCCTCTGGGACTGGATAAAGGATTACTCTTCTTTGTTCTTAACCAAATGGTGAGTGTTGTATTTCTGATCTGAATTTTGCACACACTCCCTCTGATTTCCCACTTTGCTGTTTCAGTAAGGCGGGTATTGAGTGCTTGAAAATGGACATTAGGTGGTCCACATTGTTGTCTGGAACAGAGTGTCTCTAAGATCCTGCAGACTCCTCGATCGGTGTACACAATATTGATTTACACCAGCAGCTTAACATGTATCAGGAAAGGACTACGCAGCATGAGTCCGCAGCCAGTGAACCAGGTCGCAACTTTATTTGAAGACAGCAAAGATTAAGAGTTAGACTTTACACTTTGAACCACTCTATTTCTAACAACCTGCTTCTTTAGAAACCTAAAATACTTCCCTGATACTCGTAGATTTTGCTGGTCTGTCGAACTGTTTAGTCTGTTCCTCTCTTCACAGGTTGATTCTCTCTCTGGTCGGAGGGTGAGCTGCTCTGGTCACTGCTGTATCCCAACACGCCTCTAGGTAGGCTGGAGAGTGGGGCTACCCAAGTCCTGCCGAGCTGGGTTCGTATACCCTCCTGGTTGCCTTCTGGAGCTTTCCAAAGACTTGACCAATCGGAGGTATCAGATTAATTGGCTTTATCACCTTGAAATGCTGTTCATGGCTCTTGATGGCTTGCTTAACAGCAGCCCCTTTAAGGTGAATAAAAACCGAAGGACGCTGTAAATCGGGAACAAAAACAAAGTTGCTGGAAAAGCTCAGCACGTCTGGCAGCATCTGTGAAGGAGAAAACAGAGTTAATGTTTCAGATCTGGTGACCCTTCCTCAGAACATGTTTGTTTTTGACCCCTTTAAGGTGCTTGCTGTTGGACCTGGATGTCTGGTTTTATCCCAGAATATACACCTGGTCTTTTGTCTTACTGAGGCATGTCTGCCCCATGCATCTCGTGTTGTTTGTTTGTCAGGAAGGGTTGAGCTTCCCTTTCACACTTCCTGGTGCCTCTCTGGTTTTGATTGTCCGGGCTTGGATCTTGCAAGGACTTGCCCCCTGGCAGAATTGTCTCTTGTGTCTGTCTTGTCTCAGGGATCCCCAACATACTTTGCTTTTTGGCCAATTTAAAGACCCAATTTATTTCAGTTGCTGTGCGTGTACTTCTGGCCTCATTAGTGAATGATTTTTATTTCACTTGAGCAGTTGTAGGCTGCTACCTTGGTTTTACCTTTACTGGTTTGTTGGCTTTCTTTCACCATTTAACAACTGGCTTTCAGTAGGTGTTTGGAAATGATGGGCACTGTGAACATTCAGTGGATCAGGGCTGATTATAACTGAATGGTTGACCTATCTGACTTCTCCATCTACATTGACTGACCTGTGTGTTTCCACAGCTTTTCTATTCTCTTTTTCAGCATATAGATTCATAGAGTCATACGGCATGGAAACAGACCCTTCGGTCCAACCAATCCATGCTGATCATAATCCCAAACTAAACTAGTCCCACCTACCCCTCCAAACATTTTTCATTCATGTACTTATCTGAGTGTCTTTTAAATGCTGGAACTATAACCGTATCCACCACTTCCTCTAGAAGTTCATTCCACACACAAACCACACTCTGATTAAAAAAATTGCCCCATGACTTTTTTAAATCTTTCTCCTCTCACACTAAAAATATGTCCCCAGTCTTGAAATTTCCACAAAAGGGAAAAGACACCTGCCATTCACATTATTTATACCCCTCATGATTTTACAATCCCCTGTAAGGTCACCTATCAACCTCCTACACTCCAGTGAAAAAAGTCCCAACCTATCTAGACTCTCCTTATAACTCAAACCCCCAATTCCCAGCAACATCCTGGTTAATCTCTTCTGAATCCTCTCCAGCTTAACAATATCCTTCCTACGACAGGGAGACCAGAACTGGACACAGTGCTCCAGAAGAGGCCTCACCAACATCCTGTACAACCTCAACATGATGTCCCCAAACCTATACTCAAAGGTCTGAGGAATGAAGGCAAGTATGCTAAATGCCTTCTTAACCCCAGTATCCATAAATGATGCAAACTTCAATTAATTATGTACCTGAACACCTAGATGTCTTGGTTCTACAACGCCACCCAAGGTCCTATTTTTAATTGTATAAGTCCTGCCTTTGTTTGTTTTACCAAAATGTAATACCTCACATTCATCTAAATTGAACTGCAACTGCCACTCATCTGATGTATTTTATTGAAAAAATGTCTTTAAATGTATTCATCTGCTCAGTTGGACTCTCTGGACAAATCGTAAGTGCAAACAGGGATGTTATAAATAAGAGTGGATTTATTAATCACACAGCGACAGGACAATCACACCCTCATTTCCAAAGCTGCCATGCTTTGCAAAGTCAGGAAGGAGAGATCACATCCAGAGTGAGACATAGCCTAAGTGAGTTACAGTTCGGGGAATTTGGAGGCACTATGGAAATTTGTTGCAGGAGGAAGAGGAGCTTTTTGCTTACTACTTTTTTGCTCACAGTTTATAAGGTTATTTTTGACAGGATAAATTGAAGCCCAGGATCAGGGCCAAGCATAAATGAGTGACATCACAGTTAACCATAAGTTTATTGCCTGGTGACAACTATATATTTGACTCTCTATCACAGGTTACTTTCAGATTGAGGGGAAATAGGGGAAATATTTATAGGCTACAAACTGAAACGACAATATGAAATTTGTAAACTTAAATTAAGAACTAAGTAATTAAAACAGAAATGCCAGGACAGGCGATGTGTTGAAATTGAATGATGTAGGAGCCAATGTAGGAGTTGTGACTACATCTGTAGCAAGTGTTGGTTGCTTGAGGAAGTCCAGCTCAGAGTTGATGAGCTGGAATCTGACCTTTGAACATTGTGACACATCAGGGATGGGGAGAGTTACCTGTATGCGGAGTTTCAAGAGGCAGTCACATCCCTTCGATTAACTACTTCAAATTCAGCCTGTGGTCAGGGACAGAAGGTGTGACTATGAGCAAGGCAAGTAGAGGAATCTCGGTCCTTGAGATTGTATAACAGGTTTGAGATTCTTCCTCCCTCTGTGGGTGAGAGTGCGGTGTGCAGGGAGGATGAGCAAAGTAACCATTGCACTGTGATACAGAGAGCCATTCAAGGGAGGGGACAAGCAAGAAATGTAGTTGCAATCGGGGATTGTATAGTCAGGGGAATAGACACTGTTTTCTATGGCCATAATCGAGAGTCCTGAAGGCTGTGTTGCCTGCCTGGTGCCTGGGTTCGAATCTGGCCTACAGAGGAACTTGGAGTGGGAGGGGAAACATCCAGTTTTTGTAGTCCGCGTGGATGCCAACGATATAGGTTGAACAAGGAAAGAAGTTCTGCTGAAGGAACTGAAAAGGTGATAATCTCCTGATTACTGCCTGAGCCATGAGCAAACTAGCACAGGATCGACAAGACTAAAGAGGTAAATACATGACTCAAAAATTGGTGTGGGAGAAATGGGCTTGAATTCATGGGTCATTGCCACCAGACTGGGGAAGAAGGGAGCTGCTCCTCCCTGCCTACCCTACTCTCACCCACAGAGGGAGCAATGATCTCAAATCTGCTAGACAATCTCAAGGGTTGAGGCTCCTTCTTGGATTCCTCTACCTGAATCTTGAGGCTTGGCAAACCTCATAACTAGGACTGTGGATAGGGCTTTAACTAAATATCGGTGAGATAGGTACAGTTACATGGAAAATTATGAAAAACGTTAAAGATGGGGAGTGCTCAGCATAGGCCAGAGAGTGTGGCAAGGTTCAGGAATCAAACTTCAGGCATAGCAGATAAGGAGACAACTATGAGAAAGAGGGCAGTCAACACAGGACTGATGGTGTTATACTTAAATGCTTACGGTGCATGAAACAAGGAAAGTAAGATTGTAGCACAGATTGAAATCAGTAGGTATGACGTTGTGGGTATCACAGAGACACAGCTGCAAGGGGATCAGAGCTGAGAACTAAACATTCAAGGATACACATCCTATCGAAAAGCCAAGCAGATGGAGAGAGGGGTTGGGTTTGCCTTGTTAGTTGGCAATGGAACTAAATTGATAGGAAGAAATGATTTAGAGTTGGAAGGCATAGAATGTGTGTGGGTAGTATTGAGATACAGCAAAAGAAAATAAACCCTCTTGGGAGTTGTGTACAGGCATCCTAGCAGTAGGGAGGATGTGGAGCAGAAAATAAATCAGGAGATAGGCACGGCATGTAAGTATGGCAGTATTATAATAAACATGGGGGACTTCAATATTCAGGAGGACTTGGAAAATCAGGTTAGTAGTGGATCCCAAGAAAACAAATTTGTGGAATATCTACAAGGTGATGTTTTTGGAACAGCTTGTGGTAGAGCCCACTAGGGAACAGACTATTCAGGTTTTCAGTGGTTTATAGTGAGGCAAGCTTGATTAGGGAGCTTAAGATGAAGGGACCCCTAGGGGTCTGTTACAATAAAATGACAACATTCAGCCTGCAGTTTGAGAGAGAAGCTGGATTCTGATGTAATTGTATTACAGCTTGAGGGAAGGGAACTACAAAGACATGAATGAGGAGCTGGCCAGAGTTGATTGAAAGGGAAGTCTAGCAGAGAAGATGGTAAAGCAGCAATGGTAGAGGTTTCTGGGGGTAATTTGGGAGGCATGGCAGAAATTCATCCCAAGGAAGAAGGAAGATACTAAGACAGGACAAGGCAACCATGGCCTACCAGGGAATTTGAGGACTACATAAAGGAAGCAAAAGAAAAAGCTTACATTGTGCTGAAGATTAGTGGGAAGCCAGAGGAGTGGGAAGCCAAAGGATTGGGAAGCCTTTCAAAATGAGCACAGGATAACTAAAAAATCAACAAGGGGTAACCAGATGAAGTATGAGAGTAAGCTAGTTAGTAATATAAAAAAAGATTGCAAGAGTTTTTTTTTAGATATCTGTGAGGAAGAAAGAGGCAAGAATGGACATTAGACCATAGAAAATGAGGCTGGAGAGGTAGTAATAGAGAAGAAAGAAATGGCGGAGGAAGTGAATAGGTACTTGGCACCAGTTTTCATAGTGGAAGATACGAGTAGCATACCAGTTGTTGTGAGGTTGGTGTGTGTAAAATTGTAAGATGGGGGGAAACATTGCATTGTCCCTTTTAAAGATGGTGTTTTTTTCAGTTTTTAGAGTTAAAATGGATGTCTGACCAGCAGCTTGAAGTGCAGGTATACGCAGAGAGCGTCTGAATGGAAACATTTTGTATCGAACAGCCAAGAAGCATTTTTATCAATACGAGTCTTTTCAAATTTAGTTAATCAATTTAAACCAAGCCCTCAGATACTAAAAGCCTATCAAATTTAAATCTGATGGTGTTGACAAGCTAGAACCAATCTGATTGTAAAGAAGTTAATAGATCGTCAAGGGCATAAAGATGAGGGCATTTGGAAAATCAGAGAGCCAACTGCCAAATGCCAACAGACAACACCTTTCAGCTCTCTGAGAAAACATCATCTAATTAATCAAAGGTACTTCTAGCTAAGAATCTTTGCAGAGAAAACATCCCTGACAGCAAAATCAGTGGAAGAAAAACATTTGTGACTTGAGATCGACAGAAGAAAGGCCGAAGAAGGCAGAGTGTTCCAGAGGACACAGTTGGTGCGCACTTGGAGAGATTAAGTTTTAATTTATTATTGTCTTATTAATTGGGTTTATATAAGTGGGACTTGTGTTTATTTGAACAGCATTCCAGTAGAATTTAATTCAGTTAGGGAATAGTTAGCACTCGGGGGGAATTGTTCGATTTGTAATTCTGTTAATTTGTTCACAGTTAGGGTTAAATAAACAAATTGTTACTTGTTATTTATAAAGTCAATCAGGGATTTTCTTTCATTTAACCTCCCCTTCGCTGTAACAGTTTAACAGATTAGGTAAGGCGAGGCAAGCTTCTCTGGGTGTTTTGGGTTTTAATTATTAGAAGGGGACCTCTACTCCCACTGTAATAGACTGGGGGCTTGTGTTTTGATTTTAATTATCAGAGTGCTTGGACCTCCCCTTTATAACACAGTACTTCAAGAGAGTCAGAGGGCAGAGGTGAATGTAGTGGCCACCACTAAGGAGAAGGTGCTGGGAAGGTGAAAGGTCTGAAGGTGGATAAATCACCTACACACCAGATGGACTACACTCCAGAGTTCTAAAGGAGATAGCTGCGGAGATTGTAAAGGCATTGGTGGAGATCTTTCAGGAATTACTGGAGACAAGGAGTGTGCCGGAGGACTGAAGAATGACTAAAGTAACACCACTGTTTAAGAAGAAAGGGAGGCAGTAGACAGGATAGGCTGGCAAAGAATGGATAGGCTGGTAGCATGGCCTTGGATGTTGCAAAGATTTTAGCGATCATTATTAAGGATGAGATTGCAGAGTGCTTGGAGATGCATGGTAAAATAGGGCTGAGTCAGCATGGCTTTGCTTTTGAGGAGGCAATGAGCTAGTTAGAGAACTGAGAGCCAGTGAATTTGATCCATTTGGATTTCTAGAAAACCTTTGAGAAGGTGCCACACAGGAGCCTGCTAAATAAGATAAGAGCCCATGGTATTAGGGGCAAGGTACTGGACTGGATAGAGGAGTGGCTGACTGGCAGAAGGCAGAGACGAGGGGTAAAGGGGTCTTTTTCAGGATAACTTCCAGTGACTAATGGAGTTCCATAGGGATCTGTGTTGGGAACACAATTATTCACGCTATACATTAACAATCTGGACAAAGGAACTCAGGCAGTGTTGCTGATTTTGCAGATAACACAAAGATAGTTGTAGGAACAGGTGGTGTTGAGGAAGCAGGAGGCTGTAGAAGGACTCAGACAGCCTAGGAGAGTGGGCATAGAAGTGGAAGATGGAATACACTCTGGGAAAGTGTGAGGTTATATACTTTGGTAGGCTGAATAGAGGTGTAGACTATTTTCTAAACAGGGACAAGCTTCATAAATATAAAACACAAAGGGACTTGAGAGTCCTACTTCAGGGTTCTCTTCAAGTTAAAGTGTAGGCTTAGTTGGCAGTCAGGAAGCCAAATGCAATGTTAGCATTCATTTCAAGAGGGCTAGAATACAGGAGAAGGGATGTACTGCTGAGGCTGTATAAGGCTCTGGTCAGACCCCATTTGGAATATTATGAGCAGATTTGGGCCCTATACCTAAGGTAAGGTGTGCTGGCATTGGAGAAGGTCTAGAGGAGTTTTACATGAATAATCACAGTGATGAAGGGCCTGAAATATGAGGAGTAGTTGAGGATGCTGGGTCTGTACTTGATAGAATTTAGGAGGGTGAGGGGGAATTTGATTGAAACTTACAGAAAACTGAGAGGCCTGGATAGAGTGGACTGGAAAAGATGCTTCCTCAAGTGGGAGAGACTAGGACCCAAGGGCACAGCCTTAGAGTGAAGGGACCCACCCTTTAGAACTGAGATAAGGAGGAATTTCTACAGCCAGAGGGTGAGAATCTGTGGGACTTATTGATGCAGAAGGCTGCACAGACCAAGTCTTTGAGTGTCTTTAAGACAGAGCTAGCTAGGTTCTTGATTGTTAAGTGGATCAAGGGTTACATGGAGAAGGTAAGATAATGGGTTGAAAAGTTTATCAACCATGATCGAATGCTGGACCAGACTTGAAGGACCAATAAGCCTAAATCTTAATTTACATTTATCTTGTGGCTCCTTTACCTTATGGTCTTATGGCATGATTGCAGGAAGTCCCTGTGAAAACTTCTACCCCAATGTCTCACCTTGCCACTTTGCCAGCCTCGCTGATTAGCAGTCCATCCCCAAAGGCAGCCGTGATCGAATGGTGGAACAGATTGAATGGGCTGAATGGCCTAATTCTGCTCCTATGTCTTATGTCCTTATGGTCTAAGATTGCAATTTCCCTCCTGAATTCGGCCTTCCATTTGAAGGAGGTGACTCATTCTGTGAAAGACATATTCTCCTGATGCCATTGTCTAGCTTTCATAAATGTTTTTCCAGCAATTTCTGTTTTTGTTTTGGATTTTCAGCATCCCCAGATCTTTGGATTTTTGTTGTGTGAATATTGGATTGTCCAGGCCTGTACTCATTGGAATTTTGAAGAATGAGAGGGGACCTCATTGAAATGTATATATTTCTGACTGGGCAGGACAGACTGGATGCAGGGATGATGATTCTAGATCTTAGGTATCTAGAACAAGGGATCATGGTCTCAGGATACACTTAACACCATTTAGAACTGAAATGAGGAAACATTTCTTCACTCAGAGAGCATTGAACCTGTGGAATTTTCTATCACAAAAGGTGCTAGAGGCCAAGTCACTAAATATATATTAAGGAACGAAATGGAAACATTTCTAGACGCTAAGGCCATCAAAGAGTATGGAAAGAGAGTGGTGTATGGCATATGATAGAATATTAGCCACAATCATATTGAATAGCATAGCAGGCTTATTGGGCCAAATGATCTACCCCGCTCCATTTTTCTATTTTTTCTATGTTGAGAAAGCATGAGAGTGGTTTCTCTAAATCTTTTCCAAGTATAAAGTTTAATTGATACCCATCTGCCCTATTATGTGGCTGTATGACATTATTGCAAAGTGGGCTGGGAGTGTTGTTCCTCATGTTCTGGCTAACAGTTATCCCTCAAACCAACATCAGACAAAAGAATTGCTTCATCACATTGTTGTTTGTGGGGCCTTGATATGAATAAATTCGTTGCTATGTTTCCTACATTGCAAATATGTTCGAATTAAAAGTCACAATACTTCAGGAGGATGTCTCTGGTAGAAAAGACACGATGCAGTTGTAAAAATCACGATATAAATGCAAGTCTTTTGTTTTCTATCTTTCTCTCTTACTTCTTTCTTTCTTTCTGTCCAGATACAGAAAAGAAGAGCCCAACATCTCCCGGATTCACAGATAATTACAGCAGAGAAGGAAACCATTCAGCCAATCATATCTGTGCCAGTTAACAAAGAACTGATTATTCCAATCCCACATCCCAGCTTTTAGCCCATAGTCCTGGAGGCTATGGCATTGCAAGTGAAAATCTACATACTGCTTCAATGTTACGAGTTTTTCTGACTCAACAATCCTTTTAGGCAGTGGCTTCCAGAATCTCACCAACTTTCCGAATAAAAAAAACCATTTTCCTCAACTCCGTGGTTACCACTGTTGCCTCACAGCGCCGGGGACCCCGGATTCGATTCCAGCCTTGGGCGACTGTGTTTGTGGAGTTTGCACGTTCTCTCTGTGTCTGTGTGGGTTTCCTCCAGGTGCTCTGGTTTCCTCCCACAGTCCAAAGATGTGCAGGTTAGGTGAATTGGCCATGCTAAATTTCCTGCAGTGTCCAGGGGGGATGTGTATTCTAGGTAGGTTTGCCATGGGAAATGCAGGGTTACAGGGATAGGGTAGGATCGGATTTGGGTGGGATACTCTTTGGAGGGTTGATGCGGACTCAATGGACCGAATGGCCTGTTTCCACACTATAGGATTCTAAGATTCTCTTAACCTTATACCTTACTTTAAATCTATGCCCCCTGGTTATTGCCACCTCTACCAATGGAAAAAAAAGTGTCTTCCTATACCTGTAATAATCTTATACACCTCCATTAGGTTCCCTCTTAAACTTTGCTGCTTCAAGGAAAACCATCCCAGCCTAGCCAATCTTTCCTTGTATGTCTGACCCTCCACCCCAGGCAACTTCAAGCCTAATGCAGTAGTTAATAAGTTAATTCTTGTGCTAAAAAGTAAGGCAGAATCTTTAGCAGACTGTGCCTGTCCATCTCAGTGAGAAAATCCATTACCTAGGATGAAAAAGATGAAATTGAAGGCATAAAGAAGATGTGTTTAAAAGATGCCAAGCTAAGGATTTACAAGATTGATGCAGGAGGTAGAGATTTCTATCACTAAGTCACCCACAGGTATATCTCACTCATTCACACCCAAGAGGAGTTAAGCAGTTGACATTGGATTTGGGGTGTCATGATTTCACTTTAAATCAAAATGTTCAAAACACAAACTACACAATTGTCACCAGCTTGTCCGTCACATTTATAGATTTAATTTCAAGATTTGTGTACGTCAGAATAGCCAACAAACTCTCGAAGGTAACTCAGCGTTTAAATCCCTTTCAGAGGCTTTCTCAAAATGTAAAGATACATGTACTTGTCTCATTCAGCACTAGAGGGCAGCATCCGCTCAAAATCCTGCCACTTAATAGGTTTTACATTGTAATCATTTTAATAAACGTAAAAATATCTAATATTCTTTCATTTATATTCAGTGATTATATTTGGCACAAACACAATGGTTTTTTTTCCCCCCTGCTTTTAATGCAGGACTTGAAGTCAATTATTAATTTCTGGAAAATCTCTTGCTCCAATGCTACAACAATGACTTGTATTTAGACAAGCATCTCTTTAAGGTAATAAACTGTTACAGTTATCAAACAAAATATGGCTGTTGTATCAATTAAGGTGATATTAGGTGGCTGACAAAAGGTTTGATCAAAAAATATTCTTTTCAATGAGGAGGGAAGCAGAGAAGGCAGATAGATTTAGGGAAGGAAACTAAAGGTCCTGGAGGGATTTGCAAATAAGGGTGAAGATTTTAAATTTGAAGGGCTCCTGAAACAGAACACAGGGGAAGTATGGTGAATGGGACTTGGTGTGTGTTAGGATCTGGGATGTGGGAATTCGGATGGCCTCAAGTCAATGGAAGGGTTGAACGTGGAAGGTTGGTCCGGAATTGAAAAGTTATCGTGAATGACTGAGGAAGTGGAGGGAGCAACAGAATTGAACAATCGAGGAAATCAGCTGTTTCCTAAAGAAAGACAGGACAGTTGCACCTTACTCAAACTTGGGAATGTCTCAAAGCATTTGACAATCAGCAAAGTAACTTTTCTTGAATGGAGTTGCTGTTGTGATGTTGGAAACACAGCAGGCACTGATGTCCAGTAAAGTACGGTGAACAACATCAAGACATCGACCAGTTGTTCTGTTTTATGATGTCGATGGAGATATCAATATTAGTCAGAGCACTGGGGATGGATGACTCCCTGATTTCATTGAAGGCCCTGTGGAATCTTCTAGATCCATTTTAGAAGCAAGATGGAGCTCTGCATTAAAATTTCATCTGAAGGACAATCCCTCCAATGGTGTGGTCTTCTATCTGTATTACACTGAAGGATCGATCTGAACTAAGCTTCTGGGGTGGAGCAGGAACCATAATAATATGATTCTGAGGCAGGAATACATTTTTTTATTCATTCATGGGATAAGGGCATCACTGGCTGGATCAGCATTTATTGCCCATCCCTAATTGCCCAGAGGGCAGTTAAGAGTCAACCACATTGCTGTGGGTCTGGAGTCACATGTAGGCCAGACCAGGTAAGGATGGCAGTTTCCTTCCCTGAAGGACGTTCGTGAACCAGATGGGTTTTTCCTGACAATCCACAATGGTCATCATTAGATTCTTAATTCCAGATTATTATTGAATACAAATTCCACCATCTGCCGCAGCGGGATTCAAACCCAGGTCCCCCGAACATTACCTGGGTCTCTGGATTAATAGTCTAGCAATAATACCACTAGGCCATCACCTACTCACTGCTCGCTGAACCACTGCTGACATGTTCTGAGGAATCAAATAAAGAAAGAGAAAGAAAAGGTTTTTAATCAGTTGAATTTCCTCTACAAAGTACAACCTGTCAGTTATCCTTTGAGACTTGCTTGCCTTTTTTGTGCAGTTCTTTGAGTGCAGGAGTTGGGATGTTATGTTGAGGTTGTATGGGATATTGGTGAGGCCTCTTCTGGAAAACTGCATCCAATTCTGGTCACCCAGTTGTAGGGATGATATTATTAAGCTGGAGAGGGCTCAGAAGTGATTTACCAGGATGTTGCCAGGTATGGAAAGTTTGAGTTGCAAAGAAAGGCTGGATAGGCTGGGACTTATTTCACTGGAGTGTAGAAGATTGAGAAGTGACCTTACAGAGGTTTATAAAATAGTGAGAAGTATAGATAGGTTAATGGTAGGTGTCTTTTCCCTGGGATGGGGGATTTCAAGACTGGGGGCCCATTTTTAAGGTGAGAGGAGAGAGATTTAGAAGAGACACGACGAGCAATTTGTTTACAGAGGGGGTGCTTTGAGGATGGAACGAACTTTCTGAGGAAGTGGTGGATGTGAGTACAATTACAATGTTTAAAAGACAATTGGATAAGTACAAGAATAGGAAAGGTTTGGAGGAATATGGCCAGGAGCAGGCAGGTGGGACTAGTTCAGTTTGGGATAATGTTCAGCATGGATTGGTTGGACCGAAGGGTCTGTTTCCATGCTGTATGACTCTATGACTCAGTTAAAGAAGCTACACGGGCTCAGGAAAGGTCTATCGACAGGGATGGGCCTTTAACTTCAAACAGTGCTGTAAACTGATCTAAGAACTGTATTGTCTAAATAAGGATTAGGAATCAGTGTAGGCTTGATGGGCTGAAGGGCCTGTTCTGTGCTGTATTGTATTATATTATTATATTATATTATAACACTGTATGTCCTAGGATGAAGTAGGATCTGCTCTGCTGTTTAACATGACGAATGGTGAACCCCTGCCTCAGCCAAATGCAGGCAAATGGGACTAGCTCAGTTCAGGGAACTTGGTTTGTGTGAATGAGTTGTGCTGAAAGGTCTGTTTCCGTGCTGTATGACTCTATAACTGCATGCATCCTTGCTTCCAAGAGAGATCAAAATCAATCTTGATCACCCTTAAACATAGCCAGCCACGGGGCATTTATAACCCTTGGGAGCAATCAACTAATTCAAACATTCACAAATCCTTTGAGTGAATAAGTTGTTATGTGGCACACATACTGGCAGATACGAATGATGTGCCAGCACGGGAATTTGGCACCATCAAGTCAAGGTAAAAAATTAGTTTGTGACTGTCAGAATGATGAATGTAGGAAGACAATATCAAGTTAACTGCAGAGGGTCTGATAGACGTTGGTGCTTTATGCTGCACAACGAGCTTTGCAAATGTGCATGAGGCAGCTCAAGACTGGGGAGATTTTGATCAGCAGTGTGGCATGGGGACATGGTGCACATGTCATGATGCAAGCTTGGGAAGACATCACAGGAAAACACATTAGCACTTGCAGAGAGAAACCTTCCATGAAACGTAGGAAAAAATGACATTGAGCCAATTTCTGGTTAAGATTCAGCCCAATATTTATCATACAAATCTAACTAGTACTTGATTGCTAACATTGCAATAAATTACATTTGAACAAAACACACTTGGTGGCAGCAAAACACCCCAACAGCAAGCTGCCAGTGGTTGACATCCTAAAAGAGTGCAGCATGGTGATCAGTGATGAGGTTTGGAATTCAGTTTAGCTGTACCATGCAATGTGGTAACGATGGTGAGAATTCTAGTGAATGGAAGGGCAGAGAATTCCAGGGTTTTCGGGAATAGTAATAGATGTATGCAACTTTAAAACATTATAGCTTCAAGATTACTCATGTTGTAGATAGCAGCTACAATAGCTGAACAGTAAAGCAGTTGAACAGTGAACTAAGCATATCTATAACTTAAACCAAGCTTGTAATACTGATGATTTCACAAAGCCAGAATTAAGGCATCAAAGACGCAGTTTAAAAGCCGACTCAGGCAAGGGTATAACAGGAGAACATGGTGAGGAGACTATTGAGGCAATGACAAGAGCAGGACATCCCCATAATTTAAACTGTGGTTCAGGCAGGAAGAATTCCTAAAGGTTGAAGGCACCAGGCTTTACTTGGGAACGTCATGGAAAAGGAATGGCATTTTTTATTAGGCTGTGAAAGTTTGCCTGAAAACTATGGAAAGCTCCATTTAATCATAGCAAGCAGTACTAAAATACAACATTACTATATTGAAAAATTGAACATTTTAAGAGAAGGATATTTAAAAAATATTGGTATACAGCAGGTATACATCTTTCAGGCAAAGAGAATAAAAGTGTTGAAATCTGGCAGAATTAAAAATCAGCAAGGAGAATAAAGTACCATTGAGATATTGCTGCATTAAAAAAACTTTGAGGTTAGAATAAATGGTCACATTAGGAAGAAATGGCAGGAGAAATAATACTTACGGGCAGATTTAGTTTCAGAGATGGACCATATAATAGACAGCATTGGACATCTTAGAGAGAACAGTTTTCAAGACAGAAAATTACTTCCAAACTACACAGCAAATCACAAGCTGAAAAGGAATTACACTACTGAATGCAAGAGGACCTACAGCTGGTGATGTTATATGTCATTAAGACATAGAAGAAGACTTTTGATGAAGTTCTATAAATTTTTGAGAATAACATTAATCTGAGAACAAATTTTAAAAGACCAAGATTTAAAAGAAAAGTTCAGCATCCAGGTAAATCACCGAAGATAATTTCATGTATGATATCTACATATTGGTGGAAACCTATGACACTGCAGCTCTGCATTCAGGATTAATAAGAAACAGAATTGTTGTTGGGATAAATAATGAGTCTATGAACAAACTACCTGGCGTGGAGATCCAGGATTCTATTACATAAAAAGAAAATTATTGTATTAACAAAATGGCCATCTTCCACAAAGAGAACTCAAAAGACAAAAGATCACCCAGATTATATGAAGCAACTACCTGATTTAGCAAGGAAGACTTCCATTCCAAATAAATTCAGGGGATTAAGTTAATGGTCCAACTTCCTTGTTTTAGCAGGAAGGACATGATTAGTGAAGGACATGCTAAGATAAAAGTTTTCCAGTACAGGGAGCCCTTATAGTCTATGTTAAGGTTAATGGTCCTCAAGCCAAATACCTACCAATTGTTCATGTCCAAAGAGGGCACGTTATGAATCCTTTAGATCAACTTAATTTGTGAAGTCAGTGACGGTACAGGGAGATGGGGTAGTGATGAATATAACAACCTATACAAGTGTACAAATGTTATCTATGGGAATAAAGCTTGGGTGAGATGTCGTATAAGGTAATGGTTCTGAAGGGGGTAATGTTGAAGCCTGAATTACACTCCACCCAATCTGATAATACCATAATGACTTGTATGGGGATAAGGCAGAACAGCGTAGGATCTCTTTGAGTGAAGACCTATATCCTGGATCTCCATTATCTTATGAACGATGTTTATGTCGCTGGTATAATTAACGTTTACTTCTAATATGTAAAGCATTTCATCATGTTTAAGGCACAAGCCACTTACTTGGTGACAGTAAACCACCCTGACCTCAAGCTGTTAATAGATGTGTCAAAAATATTCAATATTCGATGATCTTGGAAGCTGGTCAAATTCATATTCTATATTTTTTAGGTAGCCTGAAAGAAACAGGAATTGGATGGCTAGGATTTCTTGAACAAGCAAACTTAATTGTTACATATAAGTATAAGCTTATCCACACTTGTTGGGAAATTGGTGAGGTC